TTTTTTTGTCGTTTTGTTTCACGATGTGGAAACGCGGAGTCGAGCTCTCGCCGATCCGACACGAATCGTGCTCGTATACGAAAATCGATCGACTAATATCGAACGCATTTCCTCGGAAATTAAGCTCCGCATAAGAGCTTAATTTTTGTTTATTCGCCTCGCCTACGATACGCGGCTAAACGCTGACTTTTTGTACAGGAGATGATTGTTTCTAAGCGGAGTTCGTTTCGTAGGAATTATCTGGGATATTTCGTTTCTGTCGTTTCGTCGCTTTCGAACCATTGTTGTGTTGGCGCCTTGTTGCCAGATCGAATATAAAAATTGAAATGAAATGAAATTGGATTTTGGCGTATTTTATTTATTTAACAATGAGATTTGATCGGTGGAAATTTTTAATCTTCAGGTTGGGATAGGATGTATTGCTAGCTTCGATTTTTAAATATTATTATTATTTCGCGGAAGTAAAGAAATTGGCAATTTTTCATTTCATATTTTCATCGATCTGGAATTGGCATACTTAAGGAGACCTGAACGAAAAAACAGGCCCCCGTGTGGAACGGAAAATTGATCATTTTCGTGGAACTTATGATAGATCGCAAGAATGTAACAAAATGAAAAAGAAGAAGGAGAAGGGGGAGGGAAAATAGTTTAACAATACAATGAATAATAAACGCAACGCCTGATTAAATGATTAATCTGGTCAATACGTTCGTTCACTGATACAAGCGTCGATCTTACATCATTCTCTCTAAGTAACCTAGTTGAACGTACATGAGAAACAATGAAACGATCACGAAACTTCGATGACGCTGATCGAGGAGAGAAAAGAAAATGGATCGTTAACTTCCTCTTCTGTGTAGTCTGATCGCGAGTTCGATCATTCGTGCGAAAAATGCACGAATATTATTATTAATTTTTCCTTCTTTTCTTTTTTTTTTTTTTTTTCAACAACGCAAGCAAAAAAGAAAGAAAAAAGAAAAGAAAATAACTCTACGTACAGGAGAACGGTTTAAGTTGTACTTAAGTTCACCTCGTTTCCGGTTCTTCGTGCGTAACGATGAACGAAGAAGAAGAAAACGGGAGAACGAAAGAAACTTATACATATAAACGCAAGAACGTACGTTTAATTAAGAAAAATTAACGTATCATAGCGCAGTATATTGTCTAACGTCGTTTATTAAATTATAACTTAAATGTTTGGCAGTGTCTTCGTCCAATATTTACCTATATACGCTTCCTTTAGAGAGTATAATAACGCTTCGCGCAGTACCGCATAATTGGAAATAAGATATGCGTACCATTTGAGTATCTATTGTACAAAAATGTTACGAAAATTCTATTTTGTAGAGTGTATAATAATGTGATTAAAAGTCTGAACACACTTGAACACATTCTTTCTCTAATACGCGAAGACAATCAAAAGAAAAATTTCTTTTGAAAGAAAAACAAATGTAAAAACTTATATAGAAAAATGAGTGTGTTTAATTATTGGCAGAAAATTGTACATATAGATAGAAATTGATAATTTCAATTTACCATCACTAAAGTTTAACCTCACCGAACTTATAAACAATAGAAGTCGGTCGCGACTTTGTAAAATCTCTCTAAAGG